CCTCGCACTGGACAACTGTTCTTGAAGATTATCCACACGAGTGTCTGGGCTGGTCAGAAGCGTCTTGGTCAATTGGCGAAGTGGAAGACTGCTGAAGAAGTGGCGGCTCTCATCCGATCTCTGCCTGTGGAAGAGCAGCCGAAGCAGCTTATCGTGACCCGTAAGGGTCTGCTCGATCCTCTCGAGGTGCATTTGCTTGATTTCCCCAACATCTCCATCCGTGCCTCGGAGTTGCAACTCCCCTTCCAGGCTGCTATGAAGGTCGAAAAGCTTGGTGACATGATTCTTCGAGCGACCGGACCTCAGATGGTGCTCTTCAACTTGTACGACGAATGGCTCAAGACGATCTCTTCGTACACCGCCTTCTCCCGTTTGATCCTTATTTTGCGTGCATTGCACGTCAACCAGGACAAGACCAAGCTACTGCTGCGGCCAGATAAGACCGTTATCACGCAAGAGCATCACATCTGGCCCTCACTAGCTGACGAAGACTGGATCAAGGTCGAGGTACAACTGCGAGATCTCATCCTGCTTGACTACGGAAAGAAGAACAACGTCAACACTTCATCGCTCACCAGCAGTGAAGTCCGTGACATTATCCTCGGTATGGAGATCTCTGCACCTTCAATGCAACGTCAGCAAGCTGCCGAAATCGACAAGCAGCAAGAAGAGCAACAACAGTTGACTGCTGTGACGACCAAGACCCAAAACATCCACGGTGAGGAGATGGTTGTCACAACTACGTCGCAATACGAACAGGCGTCGTTTGCTTCCAAGACTGAGTGGCGGACGAGGGCCGTGGCCACTTCCAACTTGCGCACTCGTGCTAATAACATCTACATCAACTCTGAGGATGTCAAGGAAGAGGGCCACTTTACTTACGTCATGCCCAAGAATGTGCTGAAGCGCTTCATCACCATCGCCGACCTCCGTGTCCAGGTTGCTGGTTACCTGTACGGAAGGTCACCGCCAGACAACGACCAGGTCAAGGAGATTAGCACGATTGTCATGATTCCTCAAGTCGGAAACACCCGGGATGTTCAGCTTCCCAAGGAATTGCCCAGACATGAGTACCTCGATAACCTTGAGCCTCTGGGAATTATTCACACTGTCAGTGGTAACGAGCCACCATACATGCAAGCCAGTGATGTTACCCAGCACGCTCGCCTCATGAACCAGCACGCCAGTTGGGACAAGAAGACTGTCTCTATGACCGTCTCCTTCACCCCTGGTTCCGTTTCACTCGCTGCCTGGGCTCTCACCCCGAACGGCTACAAATGGGGTGCTGAGAACAAGGACACCATGTCCGACAACCCGACAGGTTTCAGCACCAGCTTTGGCGAGAAGTGCCAGTTGCTGCTGTCAGACAAAATCCGAGGCTACTTCCTGGTGCCAGATAACGGCATTTGGAACTACAGCTTCATGGGTAGCACATTCGGTTCTGTGGAAAAGAAGCCAGTTCACGTGCGTCTCGATACGCCTGTCCGCTTTTACGACAGTATACATCGACCACTGCATTTCCATAACTTTGCCGAGTTGGAAGACGTCTGGGTTGATCGCGAGAACCAGTTTGAGTAGGTGGATTAGTGTACAAAAAAGAAGGGGTGCATTGAGGAGGCTTATACCATCTCACGGAGTTCCTAAGGGTTGGCGTTTTTGCATCACATGATCAACTGCATGGAAAGTGGAGAATGGGCGATGATTGAGATTTAGTCAAAAATGTGCATAGTGTATTATAATGTTATAAGCGAAATGCAAGTGCTACTTTGAGTTATATTGTCGACGTGTCCAAAGAGTTCGCTGATTCGTTTTGATTTAAGCTTGTTCGCATTTCCTCTCCAGTGCTGTCGCTAAAGCCGATCTTATGTATTGCACTCTAAAACATGCACCGTATTAAAGAGAAAAAACAAAACCTCCCCTTTAAGAGTACTCCTTCCTACTATAAAAGAGCATATTAAGAGTATATAGATATAGATTAAAAACCTAGAAGACTACAATATTATTAACCTGTCAGAACGCAGCCCTGCACCACTACGCTATGCAACCAAAAAGGTACGTATGATCAGTGAACTACTGATCATGGTGCAGGATAGTATATATCATCAGCCAGGCCTGACATAACCTTTATACGTTTTCTAATTAGAAGATAATATAGGCTGCAAGGTAAAGCTTGTTGTATCTATACCTGTTCGGTTTTTTCCTCGTATACGGTGCATGGGTTATAACCTATTGACAACGATCAAGTTGATGTAAATTACAAACTTATATACAGCTTTGCGAAGTCTTCTAAGTCGTCTACTCAAAGTACGTCCGGCTTTAGTGATGGCATCAGAGTTTCTACCGATGGGCTAGCATTTTAGTTTTGCGCTCCAGGACCTTTGGTTCTAGCAACGGCGATGGCGTGAGGAGAGGGTTGAAAGTTGTGACTGTTTGGTAGCTTAGTATCGCACTCAGCTCTTGAAGTGATGAACATACCCTTGCTTTTTCTGTTCTCGAGAGTAAATGCCAAGTCTCCCTTGTCTGTTACAGCTGAAGAAGCAGAAGTTGACGTCATCGGATTCACCGCAGGCTTTAGAGGTCGCTTTCCGCTGGATGACAATTCGCGCGGCATCAGTAATGCTAAGGTTAAAGTCCTAACTCGAACTGCGTTAAAGATTGGCTATTCGGTTGGTAGGGGTTCTAAGTTGTTGATAGGAGATGCGCACCTCCTGCAAGCGGGACCCCGCACCTCCCTCTTCGGGCAGCGACGCGGGGTGTTTGCGTCGCACAAACGACCACTATCTGATGAAGTTGCGAGGGTCTAACGCGATGACATGCATTACATCCTGGAGAACGGTATCACGATTGTCAGCACGAAGACGTAATGGTGCTAAGCGCGGTCGTCAACAATATGTCAATTTGGAGCTGATATAGATGAACTTGAACACTCTCTTCCTTCTCTTAGTCGACACTTCTCTCGGTCTATTGAATCACAATGATTAGCACCGTTTTCAGTCTAATTACGGTACAGAATGCTGAGTATGCTGTTGTTACCTTGGGCGTCTACGTGATTATCTCAGCCAATATCTATGTCTATGCTGTACTAATGTATCTCCAGATCACTTTTCTATGTATCTATCGCGTCTACTTTCACCCCTTATCCTCATTCCCCGGTCCTCTGTCCTACAAGATAAGCGGATGGCCTCTCCTCTGGCAGGCCTATATCGGCAATCGTCACATCTGCCACCTCCTCGATCATCAGAAATATGGTCCTGTGGTTCGGATCTCTCCTAACGCGCTTTCCTTCAATACTGCGTCTGCACTCCATACTATTTACGCCCCGCGCAACGCCAATGTGAAGAAAGGAGAGTGGTACAAAACTTTCGATATAGCTGCTGGAACGTATAGCAGCTTCACAGAAACAAGTAAGGACAAACATGCAGCAAAGAGGAGGTGGATGGGTCCTATTTTTTCGCCTGAGAGTCTAAATGCAAATGAGCAGACGGTGCGTGGTATCGTAGAACGGTTTTGCGAGACTTTAAGGAGTTTCAGGCAAGACTGTAAAGAAGAAAGCAATGCTGACTGGGGAGAGAAATGGAATGCTAGCGAGCTGAGCACATACCTCGGATTTGATATCATGGGGGCACTCGTGTTTGGAAGCAGTTTTGAGACGGTGCAAAAAGAAATGTTTAGGCCGTTGGCCAGCTCAGTTTTACCAGCTAGCATGTTGATGTACTGGGTACGAGTTCTCTCCACACTGGGATACCGCTACTCTTAGGGCTAATTTCGAATAACAGATATCGTATCTGCCTCCAGCACTTATCGTACGGCCTATCTTACGAACCAGATTATTCGAGGCACTAGGCGGTAAATCTGTTACAGACAATAACCGCTTGATCGATTATGGTGCCACCCAAGTTCAATTACAACAATCGAAAGTTAAGGCAGAGAGAGATAGTAATTCCCAACGAGTAGATTTCCTTTCGCATCTAGTCACAGCAAAGGACAAGAAAACTGATTGGCATCCTTCGACAGCAGACCTCGGTACTGAGAGTCTCAATCTGATGAACGCTGGGGCGGATCCTTTCAGTGGGGTCCTTGCCGGAGCTATCTTCTACCTGGTGCGAAATCCGGATGCACTCCGCGGAGTTACTCAAGAGATAAGATCATCCTTTACCTCGCCTTCCGAAATTATCAATGGTCCGGTACTAAATCACTGCACTTACCTCTACGCTGTCATCGAAGAGACCCTTCGTCGCACCGCGCCGGTACCCAGCCATCTTCCACGCATCGTCTTAGACGGAGGTATGGAGATCGATGGCGTTCACATTCCGGCTGGCACAACAGTAGGCGTACCAATGTATGCTCTACATAACGATCCCACCCATTTCCCTGCACCGTTTGCTTTCTTACCCGAACGCTGGATCGAGTCGCCTTCCAATCCCGCTTCCTCCATCGTCTTGGCCCGAAGGGCATTTTTCCCGTTCAGCATTGGCAGTAGGATGTGCAGTGGCAGGAACCTGGCATACTTGCAATTGAAGTTGACACTGGCACATTTACTCTGGCGCTTCGACCTACGATTGGCCCCTGATGAGCCCGAGTCTGGAGGTGGGAAGCCAGGATTGGGTATTGGAAGAGAAAGATCTGATGAATTTCAGATGTGGGATGCACTTGGATTTGGGAGAGACGGACCGATGGTCCAGGTTAGGATTGCACAGGTGGAATCTTGACGGTTTAGATGGAAAGGAAGAGAGAAGGTATTGATTTGGAGTGTCAAATGACGGAATGCTGAATTGGTGCGACTGATTGTAAACTCTTGAATGCATCTTTGCCATGATGTCTCCATGCAGCTATTGCTCCCCATCTCATACTCAGTTTCAAAAGCGTTGTATGATCAGGGTGTTCACTCGCCTGATTATTCTGAAACGCCAGACGTTGCAATCAGCACACTTGTCTTTGCACACGGTAGATGTTTACTAGCAAACCCCTTAACATTAGGCTCTCAGTCGAGAAACCATCATCTATATCAGCCGTCCCTCCAGCGGGCTATCCCTATCCCATCGCGACCTCAACAATTCCTCAACCTCATCATCGTACCACTTCCAACTGACAGGTACCTCGCAGCCAAACTTTCCCCACCCATGTCTCAAGCTAGTCGAACCATTTGATGTCCAACGTGGTGGCTTCTCTACATCTTCCAATGCCTCTATCTGTGTAAAACTAATCTCCTTGTACCGTCTTGCAACAATGCTACAAGCAGGGTTTCCACCATCGGTAGGATCGACAAGATACTCGTACTTCAAACATGGGGCAGCGACGGAATTAAAGAGAACATAGTAGTAGGATGGTGTGTCTCGAAGTCTTCCATGGTTGTCTTCGATGGGTGGAGGGTTGGGCTCAGGTATGATCCGGAAGCTCGCGTAGGTGATTGGGATGGTGGATTTAGTCGGTTGACGAATTCCGTCAGTACCCAAAGCTATCGTCCATGTATGTCTATCTCCCATGCGCCGATGGCCGTGGTCTACACGGGACACTAGCTGCCTCGAGAGAGCTGGAGGTGAAAGTGCAGTCGGATTTGCATTTTGTGCATCTCGAAGGTCTAGAGGCTCAGTTGGTAGATCGAGGATATGCTTCTTAGACCGCAATACCTGTCCCAGACGTTGCGGAGAACGATTGACTGCATTCTCTAAGAGAAAGGAGCGTTTGAGGATGAAAGTTGTATACGGTAGAAGTGAATACGCGTGTGACCACGTTATGATGTTGAGTGCTTCTGTGACGTGTGGATCGAACAGCGCAGTGGAAAGCGCAGACTCGCATGTGGCCCCAAGACACAGATGGGGACAGAAGCAGGGATTCCAATTATCTGTCTCATTCCTCCTTACCCTGTTAGGGCAGATAGCAGCATGCTTGTCGAAATAATGTAACTATTCGTCGTCAACCTTGGATTTGGATCAGCACATAGCAAAGCCTACCCCGTCGTACTTCTCATGCGCTACAGTTTCTCCAACCTCATGCCAACCATCTTCCTTGAGGTAATCGAGCATCCTTGTAGCAGATGTTCCTTTGCCCACAAATATCGAAATTCCTGTGAAGGGTCTACGAAGAAAGAAGTAGAGTGCGGTGCTGTTGCAGATGATGGCATCAGTTTCCGCTTGCACGTTTCGGAATTCGATTGGTGAATTGAAGAACCGCCTCAAGCCATTATTGATGTTGTACTGAGTTTTGATTGTGGTGCTGTAGACGTGACTCAATTTCTTACACACACGAGATAAGGATATGATATCTCGGATCTCCAGTTGCTGCAAGATAGACGCTTGAGCTGGAGCGTATCTGTTGATAAGACCAACGAGATTTATGGGGGGCAGGTGAGTCATGCTGGCGAAAGTCTCCGTAGTAGCAGCGACGCAGTAGACCGTGTGGCGTGGTTGTAGGAGAAAAAAGGAAAGAACAAGGTCAAACTTTTATACTAGTCTAGAAGTGTGACAGAGATTCTTGAATAAGTCTTGATATGCTGGCTGAGAACATCAATACGAGCGAACATCACCAGATCTAAATCCATACACACCCTATCCCATATCTACATACTCACATCTACTAGTAACGCCATTAAGTTGGCAACAACTTTCATTCCTGCCTCTTCAACCACGCCAGATTTACTGCACTCAAACAACCACTCTCCCCCTTCTCCAACCATCCAAGCAAGTTCTCCATACCCAATCTCTCAAACCCAACATGGCTCTCTACACTCGCTCCAGCTGTATGGCTTAACACCATAACATTACTTCTCTCTGCCAACCTCTTATTGACATATGGTTCATTGGCATGAACGTCGAGCCCAGCCGCCGAAATTGTCCCATTATCCAACGCAACATTGAGCGCCTCCTCATCCACTAGCTTCCCCCTCGCAATATTAACAAGTCTCGCCCCATGTTTAAACTGGCTAAACTCCTTTGCAGAAAGTAGCGTCTCCCCCGAAAACGGCGTAGCAAGTAACACACAGTCTGATGTGGACAGAAGCTCCTCAAGTGTTTCGCACCACCTTGCACCAATCCCCTTCTCCCTATCCGACATTCTGACAACATCGTAGTATGCAATCTTCATCTCGAAAGCGCGGGCCGCCTTCTCTGCAACTCGCATACCGATTCGACCAAGACCCACGATACCGAGCGTACCGCCATTGGGATTGTGCGTCACAGCCGCAATGTTCTGGTTTGCGTTGCGGAATTGATCATGATCACAGGAACGTGCTGCAAGGAAGGACCAGGTGATTGCGCGAAAGCAAGATAGGATGAGGACGATGGCGGCATCGGCAACGGATTCAGTGCAGGCAGATGCACTATTACAGTATATGGTGCCGTGCGAGGCGAGGTATTGGACGTCGACCCAGTCGAAGCCTGCGCCAGCTGAGGCGTAGATCTTGCAAGAGGTGGGAAGGAGGTCGATGAGCTCTTTATTCCAATTCCCCATTTCTCCTCCTGTGTTCCAGAAGGGACGGTACATTCCTACAAAATCACCCCATCTTTTCTCTTTCAACGCTTTCATGAACTCTTCCCTTCCCATTGAGTGTGTTCGTACAATGTTGAACGTGTCATTTAGCTTAGCATATAATTCATGATTCCATCGGATATCGTCACCAAGATGTAGTATAGTCGGTTTTGACGAGGAAGAAGTGTTTGATAGTAATGACGAGGATCGATATGGCGTTGCGGGTGCAGGAAGACCGGAGTCCTGAGGTGTCGGTGTTACTGAGGACATGATGTAATGCCTTCGAGTTCGTTTCCGAAAGATACCTTGTGGAGGCGACGACCGGATCAGGTACTTGTACAGATATGAGAAAATGCAGTCAAAACAAATTTGGAACGGGGTCGAGACGTGCGACGGATGAGTCCACAAAGCTGTACCTCGACTTCTAGATATCTTTTCGTCCCACGAACCACTTCTTATAGCACCAAGTGATTGGCACTTCGCGACCAAATACTCGGGTGCACCTGACTAGTACAGCAGCTTGTTGAGATTCCGCCTCTTTAACCGTTTGTTCACAGCCGGGAAACAACCACCGCACGTCGCAAGATACTGTACTGCTCTTGAGCGCAAATTATTCGTACACACTGTGGTGTTGTCGTTCAAGCATGTACAGCGAAATGCAGCATAGCATGTATGTGAGAGTCGACATACGCGGGGTATAAGCCGCTGGCAAGCGGTGAAGCTCAGGTTATCGATACCAAGAGCAGCACCAACGCAATCAGAGCCTCCACGTGGTAATACATGCGCCTTATCCCTGCCGCATCCCTGCGTGGTCGCCGCTAGATATCTGAACATGGGATCTGCTAACATCAAGGTATGTACTGATCCTTCTTGCTTAGATCCGAGAGTAATAAAAGCATAGTTGTTGGTTTTATACAATATATAGAATTTCAATGTTATCAAATACAGGGTATAACGATCGTTTCCTCGCTCAATGCAAGCCACAAACAGATGGAGTAGAGCTCTTTCTCGCCCAAACGCCGTAAACACCCATCATGGCTTCGTCAAAGATAATGCTTTAGACAGACAATCAATCAGAACCAGGGCACGAGGCCAGCCGTACTAGCCGGATTCGTCTGGGTTCCTTCAATCCCATACTGATTCACCATGTCGTCCCAAAGTGTCCAGTCCATATCCCCATCATCCATCATGACAGCTTCTTGAACGTGCTGCTGCCTATTGCCATTGATATTGGCATTACTCAAACCCGCAGTGCTATTGCTATCGATGCTAAAATCCATACTTGTGGTTGGAAGCATGCCATCTCCGAATGTAGGATAGCCATTTGCGGCTGTGGGCGGGTTCATCCCGTGTGTGCCGTATGACTGTGTTGAGGTGGTGTTCGAGGTAGCAGGTTGAGATGTCATGGTCGTGGGGGTATATGCGGGCCAGTTCAGGACTGTACCATCGAGGACCCCACCGGATCCCATAACGTCGTTGATCACGTTGTCAAGGCCATATTCGAACAAGTCTCCAAACTCCTTTCCAGGAGAGGCGCTCTTGTCTCTTGCGCTATTTGACTGTTCGTTTGGCAATGGCTGTTGCTGGATCGAGCTCTTCCCATCTTGCAGCGAGTTGGTTCGTGACTTGGCTTGCGCAGGGCTGCTGGGCCAACTCGGAAGTTCAGCGCTGGGCATCTCACCCAGTTTCGGTGCCGAAGGTCGCAACATGCTGTCCAAGATCTTGGTTTCGTGTTGAGCTGCAGTGGCTACTGACTGATTTGCCTGATTCAGCGCATTCGGACCTTGGAAAGCAAATGCGCTGTTGGCAAACTGCCCATTCCGGAGAGCCAGGCTAGCCCGCTCGAGGGCCAGCTCTCGTTCCCGCGCTGCCCTTGCTTTTGCAAGAAGTTTTCGTAGCGGTTTCCAAAGAGTTCCTTGTTGGCCTTTACGGAGTGGTGAAGCATCGTTGAGCGGGAACCACCAACGGCCAGCAGTTGCTTCCAGGGCTCTCCACGCGCGCTCTACAGCCTCGCCTTTGGTGCGGACGCATAATTCAGAGAGCAGGAAGGCGATGGCGTGCCACTGGACATATGTGCGGAAGAGCCAGCCCCACTTCATGGTACGCGCTTCGGTCTCGAGCAGGATAGAGTACTCGACGTTCTCAAGCGAGGTGATGAAGAGTTTGTCTTTGGTCTCTTGCGGCAATGTTGCACCTCCATCTTTTCGTTGGTGTGGGTGATAGACAACCAACCACATTTTGCTCATGATGAGCCTTGAGATAGTCGCTGTAACCCAACAGATTGGAATACTCATATCGCAATTCTTAAGATACTTGTCTTCCATGGCCTGGTGGGCATCACTAATCCATTTCTCCTTTTGCTCAATTGTCAAACCAGAGAAATATTCCGTGCATCTATTAGGGCCCGGGGGGACGTATATGATACGGCGGAAAATGTGGGTGATTTCGAAGCGAAGGAGGCAGAAGGTCATGTCGGTGAAACCTTGGCGGTCTTCGGGAAACTCGGTCATGTCGGGGTGCAGGTCGGTATCGTTGACATTAAGTGGCTGTAGGGTAGTTATTAGTATGTGATTGTAGACATGAGACGAACTGACATACCATCTTGGTGTCAAACTGGGCTTCGACAATGGTCGGATCGCAACCGTGATCTTCCGAAGATCTCGCATCAAGGATGCAGACCTGCCACCACAGGCGCCTACGCATTTCGATCTCGAATGGCGGCAGACCAAAATGACTACCATCTCGGTGTATACCAAGCGTCTGCGCAATGCGCACGGCCAAGCCAGTCAGAGTCCAAATCTTGCGCGCGTCGTCGTTGCGCCGCAGTAAGACGAGGAAGATGACAAAGGATTGGAGGATGATGACTTCGTCGCAGTAGAGGAAGTTTGCTCTTGCCAGCGCCTGTTCCAATCCAAACCGATATTTGTTAAGGAGTGTGTTTCGATCTTCACCCCACCTTTCCAGACAGACTTCCGCGGTTGTGCTTGTTACTGCGCCGTAGTATATGGCGAACAAGAGTGTTTCCATTCCCTTGCTCACTTTGTCGATATGCGCAAAAGCGTCGAAGATGACAGGTTCGAAACTGGGAACGTGGAGCACTTTGACCAAAGACTCGACGTGGTCCTTGTAGACGTCCCAGAATTCGCGCGCTTGCTGTTCGGGAGGGTGTAGCGCGTGCATGTCGACGTTGGAGGAGCTGTAACCAAAGACGAAGCTCTGGTGCGAGGACATGTTGGACGACTCGGGCGAGGGCGCATCATCTTCGTCGTCGGATGGCTCGATGAGGATCGACTTGAGGTCTTCGACCTCGTTGTTCAAAGAGGCCCAGAAGCTGTTGTTGATGTAGCGGCTCCGGCCTTTTTCCACCACCAGCCGTCCGAAGCGGTTCTCAAGGCCCTCTACACTGTTGTCGGTTTCGACTCTTGCGCCATGCTGCTTGGTCGGCCATGGGACCTGGGGCTGCCCGCTCGGACAGCCTCCCTCTGCACTTGCGCTGTTCTTTCGTTCCCTCTCGCGGTCGGCCGCCTCCTGCTCGTGGCCCTCGACCTGGGCGTTCAGACTGGTGACGACGCCCTCCAGGCGGCGCAGTCTCTCCAACAGCTCGGCATCGGGTGGCTTTCTGCTCTTTCGCGGCGCGCGTCCAGGTCCAGGGAAGATGCAGTCGATTTTGGCGCGCACGCAGTTGGAACACGGGTTCTTTTTGTCGCATTTGACCTTGCGCCTACGGCAGGTAACGCACGACCGGGGGTTTGGCGTCGGCCCAGCACCTCCACCGGGTGAGGGGCCGCTGACACTGCCGTTGAGCCTCTGGGTGCCATTGGGCGACGTTTGGCTAGACTGTATCTCGTCGGACATTGTATAAGGGATGAGTGATACAGGAAGCTGCCTC